TGGTTGCTACCAGGGGCAGCAGAGCACACACCAAAATTGTGTGTCAGTTGGTTGACTATACAGTGCTACCATTCAAAATGCCAGAACTATCTTTTTTCTTACAGAGGTATTTCAACAACTGTACTTATAGTCCTGGTTCCCTATGCACTGATGCTGCTGACCTGGCTAAAGCACACCTTATCTCCTTTCCAGGCTAATTTTCCTCTAAGAAGTAAGGAGCCTGGGGATAAAAATATAAGGAATACACTCAGATCTTCCATGGATGTGGGATTTGGACATGAATAGATCGTATAGCTAGACCAAGGAACTTAAAAATACTCTCAGATCTTGTTATGTGAATATAGCCAAGATGACCAGTATTTCTTTGCAAAGCTGGCACTGACACCACAGGCTGTGTGTGTCCACCACAGCTTTTCAGCATTCTTCACTTGGGCTTGTAACAGTAACATTCCTTCAGTCAGGGACACAGAGAGGAGCTAATGACTCATAGCTTCTATAGGTATGGAGTAGTTAAAGAACTGAGTGCCATGTCATCTCTTGTAATTAAGTTGATAGGTTTGACAGGCCTAGAAATTTTAATAACATTCTAAAAGCAGACTTTGTGAAGTAAGGAAGAAGCAGTTAACTAAAAGGAAATGGAGAAAACAAAATGCAATTGCCTATTGTTGTTGCCCCTTATTTCCTTCTCTGTAAGGCAGTAATTCCTCCATATATATTTTACTTCTACAAAATAATGGGATCTGATGACACCTCTGATTACCCAAATTATGTTCACAGCCTTATCCTGATATTCTGATGATTATAAACCAATAGTATTATGTTGCAAACATCTGGGGATATTCCCAAGGACAACACACAATTCTGATTGTCTTAGTGGGAAGAAAAAAAAAAAAAAAAAAAAGTAAAAAGCTGTAATGATTCTCATCAAAGCAGTTGACAAAGAGGGGGTTAGTCTGGATACCAGAAAAGTCTGTCCTCTATGGGATTCACTCTTTAACATACGGAAGTGTGTGCTAGATAACTCCTCATTCTCTGAAGAATGTCAGAGGAACTCCATTGTATCAGGCATCTAAATAAGCTCCTTTTCTATGCTAGTGAAGGTTCAGAAGATTCCTCATAAGCTCAAAACAGTTTTTTTTAATAGATTACTATGGTTTAAAATGAGTATTACCTTCTAACTTGGGCTTAGGAATTAGAATGACCAAAAGTGTCTTAAGAAAATAAGGAAGCTACTTCTTTATTAGCACTCTTGCGTTGTTAGCTAAACTGGTATCCATTTACTGGAAAAGGAAAAGGTATATTTTCATAGAAGAAGAAACCAGATAAAAAAGAATGTAGCATTTCCTCCTTAGAGCAAACTACATTTGCCTTCCTTTCTCATGGTAGTAATAGTCCTCATGAAACAAGAGCAAGGATGAATGAATATCCATTAAATTCAACTTGTATGAATAAATAAACAAATAAATAATCAATCCACAAAGTAAATCCCTGTGATAAAACTAGAGTATTTCAAGCAAAAATTCCCCTGTTCTGCACTATCACTTCTTTTAGTTTCCTGTAATTTGTCCTTTCAGGTTTTCCGACACTGTCTGCCAGCAGCATTGCTTTGTAATAACGGTGGCATGGTAGACTTCTCTAGGCACTAAAATTCAAACGAACATAGCAGCCATCCCACTTTGCTTCATGAGTGTTGAACACAGATTTTTTGAGACGAGAGAAACATTAATTGAGAAGAATTATGTCTAAGTGAAGCCACTTTCATAGGTATGGCCAGGCTACCTTTTGGTTTCTCCAGCACACAGGAACCTGAGTGGTGAAGCTCTGCTAGAGATGTGCAGCTCAATAAAAGGGGGCGACAAACTGCTCTTCATTGGTGATTCACAGGAAAGAAAAAAGCTGTCCAAGGTGAAACCAATGCTGACTGCTGTTAAATGTGACCAAGGGAAAAAGCAGAGACTCTAATTTGGGATTTATGCAGTGTCTTCCCCTTGTCAGTGCAGTGTCCTTCCTTGTCAGTCTACCTCATGAAGAAATGTAGTGGCAGAAACCACATTTGATTTCCTCGTGGAGTCGATACACTTCTTTTTGTGTGGCAAGAAGCTGGGGCATCTCTTCAGAAGCTGTAAACAATTTCCTTGTGTAGCTAGGAAGATGGGCAGAGTAGACTATAGAAAGGAATAATTTTTCTCCAGTCCTAACCTTAGATTTAGCCTTGTGGTTACGGAATACCAAGTTTCAACAGAAAGTAACTCAATTACTTCTATCTTCATTTCCACCCACAATTCCCAAGGAATAGTCAGAAGTTTTGACCTTGAATCTGAACCAGAAGTTCTACCTCAGCCAAAAGATATTCTTTATATTTGGAGTCTCTAGTGAAATACAGAATGATGGAAGAAAAGCCTTCCCTCACAGCTATTTCCTGTGCAAGTTGAAGGCAAACATTACCATTGATTATACTTTGTATAAAGGAACCAGAATATGAGACTAGAAGGCTTAAAATACAATTTAAATTTACATTCCCTTCATTATAAGAAAAAAAGGTCATTGGATTTTTACTCCTGCAAATGAAATGGAGTAAAATTTTTAACTTCCAATAACATGCTGCATTCTGCAGGACATTTGATATAAGGATCTCAAGTTCTAACAATATTAATGGGTTAAATTTTATATAGTTCTATGTTTTAGGTTAAACATAGGGCTGTGCAGAGAGGGAGAAGGCTAAAACAGACTAAATTCCTGCCTCACAAATCAGAAGTAGTCTGATTCTTTCGCAACAGTGCAAGACTGTCCTAAAACAGGGTGGTCATTCATTATTAAAATCTTCCAGAGTCTTCCATGCAAAATAAGGTAGACCTTTACGGTGTCAACAGTTACATTAACTTCAAGTGAAAACTGAATGTAAGAAAACAACAAAGAAAACTAGAGATAATCTTTACTGATAGCAGATAAAACTCAAGATTGCAATAGTAAAAGTCTCTTAAAATTTCAGAAGCCCATCCTGGTATTTTAAATTAAGAAGATCTAGTTTAGGGCATGTAGAGATTTGAAACAGATTGTGCAGCCTTAGAATAACTCCCCTCCAACTATGAAGAGAAAATATTTGTACAACACTCAATTAGCCCTTTCAGTGTAACTCAGCTGCTGGTAAATATAACAGATTTTGGTGTTCAAATGAACCCATGAAAAGTTGGTAGAAAAATGTAAATTCCTTTATGAGAGATTCCAGTATTTTTAATATTGTACTTAGCACCAGAAAAATAAGTTAAACAGCACCCTAGAGTAGATGCTCATTCACAATAGCTAAAGTGTTTATCACAGAAAATAAAGGGTCTTTCGTGAATTGCTTTGCATATATGAAACAAAGTCTCCTGGTGTCAAAAGTAACCTTTAATAGAAAGTGCCAAGAAGATAGTCTGCTGCTTGTACATTGAGGAAATCAGGATTTTCTGGTAAATTAAATGTGAAAGAACCTGGATTTCCCAGTTCTATTTTTATTGCAAGCAAGGAGAAAAATATTGAAAGCAATAAACCCATGAATAGAAATTAATAGGAATGAGGTGAGTAAGAGTAGAAAACAAACATGATTGCTTAGAATACATGGACTATTGGGATAAAATGAGGATTACTAAAGTGAAATAACCCCAAAACACAACAACAAAAATTCAACAAAAACAACCCACATAAAGCAGCTATACCTCACAAAGAATATAAAAATTAATAGAAAAAAAACCCTTCAGTTAATTTCTTGTCTTTATAACCTAACCACCCCTTATTTTCTTTCAATTATATTCTTGTTTGGAAAAGTAACCAAGGCCCCAAAGGAAAGGTAACTTCAGAAAAGAACTTCAGACAAGCATATATTATTATTAAAAGTAAACACTAGCTTCAGAGGCTCTAAAAGCAGAAATTCTTGCATGTTTTGAATAAATATATTCATGAATTAGTTACTTGAATAGCAAACAGATTTCTTCTATTTACAAGTTGTATATTTGTTGCTTAGGCTTCATGGGGCTCAGAGCAACCTGTTCTAGTTGGAGATGTCCCTGCTTATTGTAGAAGGGTTGGACTAGATGACCTTTAGAGGTCCCTTCCAACCGAAAACATTCTATGTTTCTATAATTCTGTGATTCTATGACACTATAATCCTGACAGCATTTGTAAGAAGGTACTATGACAGAAGCATTATTTATCTAACTATTCCAGCTTTGCCCTTTCTAAAACATAGCAGAAGAACAGCATTGTGATGTTCAGTTCCAAGGTCTTGATACAAGAATTTATTTGAGTAAATCCACACTAATGCAGGCTTAATCTTATCTGTTGTCTATACTGGTGTTAATCTTGATTATCTTACCATGCATGAATTTTCCTTCACCTGTATTTAACTGATGAAACATCAGAGGAAGTGGTAACTTTCTTCTTGCTGCCTTCCAGGTTTTTAATTTTGTTTCGGTTTTTTGTTTGTTTGTTTCTTTGTTTTGGTTTGGGTTTTTTTTGTGTTGTTGTTTTTTTTTTTTTGTGGGGTTTTGTTGTTGTTGTTTGGCTGAGGTTTTTTTAACCATATGTTGAAGCTTAGTGTGTAATAAATATTATACAGTTTGTATTTAAAGTGTTTATGAGTAGTCTGACATAACAGGTACATGCAGTTCTGCCTCATTAATATCTTGGGTCTACTGTGTTCTTCATTCACTCAATTTCAGTGGTGGGTCAGCTGAAAACAGTAATATGGTACATAGATTTGCAGCAGCTGGAAAGTAAATAAAACCAATAACATACTGAAAAGAATGAATGGTCAGAAACTCAGAGAGACTGAACACAGGCACATCTCTCTTCTTTACTGAGACTTCATGGTCACTGAAGGCTTGGGCATCTCCAAGGTTGAGGATACTGGTCGTACTTGGCAGCCTGATTTGATAATTTCTAAGCTCATTTAGAACAGTTGCAAACTCCAGTGGATTACATGGAAAAGTTTAGCAGTTGAATGAAAGAAAGGGTTGACTTACTGAAGTAAAAGCCTCTGTCTCCACACACAAACTGAAGAGCATCAACCAGCTCGGCACCACAGAGTGTTTCTGGGCCAGCAGCAGCAGAACTGGTTAAGGTAAGCAGACACAGGCCAAGGTAGAAGAAATGAATGTAGGACACAGTGTGCATCTTCACCTGCCAAAGAAGCAAAAGCCGTGTCAGAATTTCTGGACAGTCATAAAGAACGTAAGTTCTGCACCCCTGTAAGTTGAGAAACCCTATGTACTATAATTTGTTAGATAATAAACACAGTATCAGGAAATGACTCACCATAATTTGGTGACTGTCTAGATATATTCTAGTCCACGTATTTTGTAAACTGATTACTTCCCCTGGTGAATATTCTTGATTTACATTTACAATTAGTAAGAGAATCTTGTAGCAACTATGATTTATGGTTGCTCCTGCAAAAGGAGAATATGGAAAAGAGAAATAGCAAAGGGAAGCCTAGAATGACTAGATCAATTAAAACTAGAACACCGTGAATTGTTTTGTCTGAGACTAGATGGGCTAAGAGGGAATGTGACATTTGCCTGCCAATGCTCTGTGGAAGACGGAGGTGGCATATGACAGAGAAGGGCTACTTAATCTGAAGAATAGAACTGGCATAAGAAGACATGGATGTAAGCTGGATGGATGGAAATTTCACCCAGTAGAAAAAGGGTTCATAATTGGTACTCCATGGTTCTCCAGCCACCTTGAAATGGGAAACAGGACAAAACAGAGGAAGAGATTGCCAGGATTACAGAAGAATTGATGGGGAACATTCCATAGTAGGGGACCACATTCCATGAATCTTACAGTCCTCTGTTACTAGCAAGTTACTATTTAGAAGCATTCAAAAAATTAAGAGGAACACCAGTGGGAGTGTCAAGGATTTGCATCTTTACTTGATGGAAGCAACTAAACCGTCACTGGTTTTCATTATATCCTCTTAGTCAGGTTGGCTATGAGGAATAAACAGAGGTGATAATTATTCTTTTCTTGCTTACACTTTGTTACAAACTGTCTTTTTCCTGGATTTATGATTAACAAAAACCTAATCCTTAATGGGTGTAAATTTGTACAATTCCATTTATTCACTTCCTTTTCTTATATTTATATCAAACTAAGATCTTACCCAACATGTCAAAGAAGATAGCATTTTCTTCAAAGACTAGAAAATGCTATTTATATTTAGTAGCAAAACAGTGAATGATGTGCTTAATGCATATTAAGAACTGATTTAGGTTACTTGCCAGAAGTACTAGTTTTGAAAGGTATAAATCTGCATTGAGTTTCATTCTCTTTCAAGGTTAATGTTAGTATTGCAGTCAGGTAAGAAGTTCCAAATCTTTCTTGTACATACAGTTAACCTTGGCTTAAAACTGTTTTGTATTAGCAGATTAATGCAAAGTAATTGGAGTAAAATGATTGATCTCCCCTAAAGTTTCTTTCAGGGTCTCAGGGACCATTTAATCTTACTTTTCACTGAACTTTTGAAAAAATGATGAAATTATCTATTGTCTGCTCATATGGGATCTCATCCAGTAGGGTTTGAGCCTTCTCTCATCTATGATTTTTAGGAGTTCTTATTTTCTTGGCAAGGGATCTTAGCACCTTGCTGGATGAGCCCCCTATTTCAGCTTAAGTCAAAGCTGAGTAAGAGACAAATCTATAAATAAGTCAGAATTTATCCCCCTTTTTTTTCCCCTGATATTTCCACTGTGAAAATAATGAACAAATCTAAATCCCCTAATATATCATAAAAAGAGAGAATAATTACTTTCCCATTCACAAGAGCTAACTTTGCCATGCAAAAACCAACAAGCTCTAACACATGGACACTACTTCAATGGCAGACGAAGGATTATAAATTAATGTTGATAACATGACGCATTATTTCCTGTAATGTTTCAATAGCTTAACAAGATCAATTTTATTATTTTTGTTTGCCTTGCCATATGTTTACATTTCTAAGATAAATGTGATGCACCTGCAGTTTAAGATGGTTCCTAGTGCTAAGGAGGTAAAGCAGAAAGCTGCTCAGTACAGCGCCTCAGAAGGCTGAAAGAAATTACAAGTACAAGAACGTTATGTGTTTAACAATTTGTTCTTGTATAACATTTGGGCCAGAAATAAAACATAAATCTTCACCATTTAACAATTTTGTCTCTTTCAAGACTTTTCATCTGGGTTGCATTTTCAGATAAATATCAGCACTGAACTACAACAAAACAGATTATCTACTGTTTTTCCTTTAGTGGAAGCCAAAAAGCCTGCACAGTATAAGCCACAGAGAATTTCTAACTTTATCTCCAAATTTAAAAACAGTCAAGAACTTTCAAACAAGTAAAAACTTTGGGGAAAAGAAAACAGACTCACATGTTTCTAAGGCTCAACCAACTATTTGTTAAATTAAGTGCTGTTTCATCAAAACTAATTCCAAAACAATTTAAAACTTGAACTTTACTTCATCATTTGAATTAAACATAACATTAGTTGATTCAGTATATTTGTGATAAAATCAAAGTTCCCATTTATGTCTGAGGAGAATATTCTTAATACAAAGTTGTAATCCATAATTGCTTCAGGTTCTTTACTAACAGGCAGGGTGCTTGCAGTGTCCCCAGTTTGACTAGAAAGTTGAGAGTAAAAGAAAATGCATTGGCATGTGGGTGGGGTTTACTCAAGCATCTAATTACATTTGGAAATTGAATACAGGTTCAGGATGAGCCTGGTTAAGCACTTCTTTTAGTTGCATAGAATGACTGACCATATTTTCACAGCTGGAATTTCCTCTTTTTTTTCAGTAAAATAACCAGCTTTTGCTGCATTCCTCTTTTAATAGTTCAGAAGAGTGGCACCACAGAGGAATGTCATATTTGAACATTCTACATCTCTTTTACTTCTTAATTCTTTTACACAAGACCACTTCCTCCAACAAACTATCTGCTGCCCCAAGTTGTGCTTAAGAATTCTTCCAGTGCTTGGTCATTTTAATTACATATGAAAACATCTACATTACTTGTAAACGTTTTGAAAGGGGAAATATCTTTATAGATAGTATATGCTATAGAAAAAAATAAATTAAGAATTCTGTTCAAAATTACATTTTGCTACATAGAGTTTGGACCTGATTACCAAACTATAGTATAAGTATGTATTTAGTATATAGTAAGAGTATTCACCAGTAATCACTATATAAATAAGGCCTACATACTCTAGAATGGATCAAGGTTTAAATACTGCTAACTTTGATTAAAGAATCTGGGCTGCATCTTAATGTAGATCAATATGTTCCATTGATTACAAGGAAACCTGGCAGGATGCATCAGCTGAGGAACTACCACATTACTTTTATGTCTCTTGGTGCCTTGCTCAACCCTTAAAAAAAACCCCATCTTCATCTTTCAAGTACATTGGAAGGGATGCCCATTTGTACTTTAAAGGAATAGTTTCATCTATGCAATTACAGATCTGCACTTCTGAATCACATTAAGGAATGAGGTAAGTGTGTTTTAAATATAAGGCATTCTAAAAAATAATTAAGCCCTAAACAATTAAAACAAGAATATTCTGTCATCTAGATAAGTGCCCCTGCAGAACATTAAAGAAAAAAAGTTCTTGAAGGATATGAATTTGCTGATAATGGAAAGTTGAACTAGGGCCAATTGACAAAAACAGAGGTCAATGTCCCTAGTGAAGCAGAATTTACTTACAGACAGTTTATATTAACATGTAGAAATTATAGGGTTATAACATGAAACTTCACATGCAAACTTTCCTGAAACAGCCCTCCCTGCAAGGGAAAACTTGGAGATGAACATGCAGAGGAATTTCCATTTTCTTTATGTACAATTGCTTAAGCTATACAAATATGCAAGGTCAGCAAGAGTTGCAGCTGGTTTCTAATGTAGAAAACAAACTGAACTTCACATTTACTTTTCATTTATGAAAGCAAAAAAAACAAGTAAATGCTACAATGCTGCCAGAAAATTGCTGCAGTGACAACATCCCTTAAAAGTTTCCCTGTGAAAGCACGAACACTTTATCCCTAATTGTGTATAATAAAACTGCAGAAACTTAACATGTGAATAATATTCTTTTTCCTATAAAACCCTGCACCTGCAGAAAATATCTAAAAGTTCTTGTTTTCAAAAGCATTAATTAACAATATAGACAATGATGTAATTTGACCCAGTAATAATGACATAACTGAAATATTGCAAAGTTCTCTGAATAGAAGTGAAATTTAAGACATGTATCTGCAATAGTTTACCCTTACAGTTATCAATGTAATTGCAACTATTACATACAGCCATTTTCCAGATCACATAAAATTGCATGTTCAGCAATTTATAAATAATTCTCAGTTCTAAAATAATGTTATTGAAAAGTGCACAATACTCTTCAAACCAGAAGCAGGCAATACACAGTAAAATAAAAGTAAAAAAATATTTGAAATAGTAATAAAGATTTACCTTCAAGAAATCACAAAAGCAGCACTTAACTAATTGTGTTGAAAGACTGTTGATTTTTTCCATTGCTTCTTAAAAGTGCAAAGTCTGGAAATGAATTTGTTAGCAGTAATGATGAGAAAAAAGAAATCCAGAGAGATGTGAGATGTTGAGAGCAATGTCACATTTCAATATTGAGGACTTTATTCCATTGCGCAGGCTCTATCTGCTCTGATTTTAGCAGTGACAGTGAGATTTAGCAAACAGAAGAGGGATTTAGAGAAAATCCTCACATTTATCTACATTACACAGACACTGTAGACAGGAAACAGCTGGGGGAGCATTTGCCTTCTCTCTCTCTCCCTCTTCTGGCAAAGTTACCGAGTAAGGACTTTTTTGGGCATGGTGACAAATAACATCATACCTTTGCATTTTAAAACTAGAGCACAGAAGCTTTTTTTTTTTTTTTTTTTTTTTCCCCTTTAAAAGAATGTGAATTAGTGACTGAGGGGTTAGCAGACAAAAAAAAGCTTGTGTTGCCATGAAAAATAAGAAAATGTATTCTGGTTAACTTTCAGGTAGCTATGTGTGCATTTGTATTTATGTGCGTGTGTGTCTGTATTTCAAATATGTAAAAACTTGTACAGGCAAGGGCATTGTTTGTGTATATATGCATACATTTGCATACAGGTACACATTTTATTCACGCATAGAGGCACAGATATTTTATTTATATCGTATAGAAAGACAGGCATCCAGCTACATACTTTTTTCTGAATGTATCTTTACGTTATTAAACTTGGCATGCCTATATGCTGAGTAACAATTAAAACCTCCAACTCACTGTGCTATTAACCCTGAAATAGCAGTTTATAATTTGCTGAAAACAACAGAATTATTGAGCATTGCTTGTAAATAGAATAAAATAGCCTTGTGTTCTCTCAGCAACAGAAGTCACACCATTTCCTAAAATTTACAGGACCATGAATATAATAACAGAAGTAGCCCGGTTTGGGAGGGCTTCCATGACATTAATCTTCAAGGTACTGTTGTAATTATAAAGTGATTTTCCCCCTTTTCACTAATAATCTTCGTAATTTCTCCTAATAACAATGTAAATGAAACTAGGAAAGACAGAATTCCACTTTGTCAGTTCTGCAATACCTAACTTTTGCCTTTTTATTTTTCCTCAATTATGAGTATATTATAAATAACACCAGCTGGCCAGCAACATGCTCTCACGGGTTATGATGTCATTCAAATCCCTCAACTGTGCTAGTGGCTTGCAATGTGCTCCAAGCCAGCTGTTTTTCTATTTATAATGTATGCTTGCATTTCAATACTTAGCTATCGAGAATAAAGTTTTGATGATGTTTTATAGATACAATTTGTACTTGTTACCCTTTGGTTTTGGAAGATGACATCTGAGAGGAGAAGATTAAACAAGACTGCAGCTCCAGACACCAAAAACATGTCACCAACGATACATTATTTCCACAAAAGCTGTTCCATAGCATTGCATTTTGTCCCTGTCCCTTCCACTGAAGTGAGAGGTGCATGCTGAGGTGATAGCTGTAGTTTATTATTAAAAATAACAACTGAGATCATGTTGGCCCAGGTCCATTCTCAGTTTTCAGATCCACCTTGAACTACATGGTGCTTGCCAGGCAGAAAGGACACCTTTAGCTATTTGTTTCCTCTATGAATGGCTAATACTCTGCTCAGTGCAGTGTTAAATGCTGTATGGTTAGCTAAGCTGATTAATCTTTGGAAGGGATTTCTTCTAATGTAGCATAGTGGCAGAATCACAGGGGGCTTTGAAGTAAGTTTGCTTAGTTCAGGTAATACCAATATTTCAAGTATTCTAGTCCACATTTGTACCTGAGGTACTGTAGTTTAATATTCTGGTCTTTTTTATTCTTCTCTCTGTGTTTCAGCAGTGACTGAATAGTGGTTCCATGCTACACGTAGCCTGACGCACTCTGCTGCAACTTGTAGCACATGTATCACCTAGTTCATCAGCCTAATAGAAAAATGTGGGAATACAGATTATAAAAACTTTGATATTTTTTATTTTTTACTTTTACAGTAGTACAGATGGGTGCACACACTTCTGTCTTTTTCCTCCTAAATAGCAGAGGGAATTCACTCGTTCATCATTTCTCCATTGCCTGAGCTTCAAACCCTTGTTTCACTCCTCACTGCTTTCTTTCTCCTAGGTTTTACCAGACCTCTCTTGGCCATGAGATGAACATGCAGCAGAAGATGCAACTTTTGGCTTTCAGGGTAGCCAGAGAATCATGGTGACTCTACAAAACTGCTAATCCAGTTTCTTTCCATGGAGCCTTTCTGAACTTCTACCCCTATTCCACCCGACCAGCCTACATTTCTGATGCACTTAATTTCTTTCTTTTAGTTCTAGTTTTAAAGTGTTACTGTGAAAAGGCAGGAAAACAGAATAGATTCAATAAGGGGTTTTGGTAGCGTTTTTAAGAATGAATTTTAGTGCAGCGCTTTTCCTCACTAACAAGTAATATCTTTTTTTTTTTTTTTTTTTTTTTTTAAAAATTAAACCCCCCCCCGGAATAACCGACT